TCCATGTGGTGCCTGCTGGCTGAGGAAACTCAGCAGAGGAGCACAGCCCTTGTGCAAGAGTCCTGTCAGGTCCCTGGTCAGCCTTTGGCAGCTCTGTCAACCCCCAGCCAAGGCCAAGGAGCCCACTCTGACCCAGAGGACATCCCGTGTCCTGGGCACACAGTGGGTACCTGGCTGTTGTCTTCAGCCACTTGGCTCCTGGGCCACGTTGAGTTTCTGGGCTGTACCAGCTCCCTGCTCAGCCCTGGCTCCGCTGGTATAATCCAGCCAAGAGCCATGAGAGTGGCATGACTGGCAAATCCAAGCCTTTGGGGCTCTGTGGTGGAAAAAGGAGATGTAACACCCTCCCCACTAAAGAAACTGTGTGTGGTTCAACTAATTCTCAACATTTCCTTGCTTCCTTTGCTTTCTTTGCTTCACTCAAGGCTTGCTCGTCCCTGTCAGGAGGCTGCCTGCTCCTTCAGCAAAATGCAGCTCTTTACTAAATGAACTCCTTCTTGGTTTCCTTTTGTTTGACACTCAGGAGATGATGGATTTATAGACCTTCCTGAGTCGTAAGTTCATTTTCTTTTATTATTTGCCTTTCAGTGCAGCCCATTCTGACTGAGATTTCATTCTGCCTCCAAGCAGGGTTGACCTGCCAAGAGGAGCTGATCCATAAATCTTTCCTTCCTTTTGCTTTCTTTCTTTCCAAAACAGCATTAGCTGAGTTTGCCTGGGAGGAAAACTGTTCTGCCATTGCCGGCAGTCAAACAGTGCAACTAATTAGTGCTTTCCCTTTTCCCTTCCCTTTAGTCTGTGTCTGCTGGGGTTGAAATTAAGCCATGGAGGAGGAGGAGGAGGGAGGGAAAAAGAAGGGGAGAAGATTTGTTTGAAGTACTTATTTTTAATTAAAACTTTTGCAAGGTGATTTGGTGTAGTGATGGTGATACACACTGTGCCATATCTAGTGGTGAGAAGGAATTTAAAGAAAGCAGGTGAGTAGAGATGGCTTCGGGTTGGTCATCTGGTCTAACACCTTCTGGATGTTGCTGCTGAAAAGCAAAACAAGTGAGAAAAAAATCTTTGGATACATTAAATCCCAATATATTTATAGGACAAATATTTTACATATAATTAGGAAACAGGAGTCCAGGGTTCTCCCAGATCTGTGTGGTTTGAGTGAGTCAATTCATTTCAAGGTGGTGTGCCAGTGCTTAGTGTAGATCTATTATTCACTGCCCAGGGGCTGCCAACACAGATCAATTTAAACAGCAAAGCAAAATGTTTTCAGATGGTAAAAAACACTCTGCAGATCCAATGTCCTTTTTGCTTTTAGCTCTTGGTTGGCTCAAGCAGCAGACTGGCCAGATGTTGACTTTATGGAATGGACAAGAACTTTCTTACCACTTGGAACTGAGGTTATTCAAATCCTTAAAAAAAGAACTCCAGGAAAAATTCTGTTGTTGAGGCAGCACTGCCTCAGTTGTGAGCGGTGTGAAGTGTGGATTACACTAATACTTCCCAAGCATTTAGCAGCAAAGTGAGCCCAAGACTACCCCAGGCTTTGGGGTGATTAAGACTATTCCAACAGATAAAACTGTGACTTTTCCGTATGAAGCCCCTGTCCCTGTGAAGAGCACTGAGACCTCCTAAGTCCTAAACCACTGGTGGATTCGGTGTTGCACTGGGGGTCTCTTGGTTGTTTTTGATGGAAACAATAACCCACAGGAAGTGTGTTCCTAGGGTAGCAAATTCCTCACTTTCTGGCTTTTGTGGGAAGCTTTTTGGTTTTCATGTGCAAAAGACTAATAGGGCAGGCCTGGAAAAGGTGCTCAGACAACAGTGCAGGTGAGTACACATTGAAACAACAGCTGGAACTGCTGGGAAAGGCAGGGATGGAAAGGAAAGAGCCCTTCACTTCCATTCATCCCACCCTGGGAGACAGAGCATGTCCCAACAGTGCTGAGCAGACAATAACTCCTTGCCAGCATTTAATTTGTTGAAGATTAGGGAATTATTCCATTCTTATAATACCACGTCAGTCTCGAAATACCTTTGAACTCTAGGGGATGTGAAGTTTAGATCCAGCTCAGATTTCGCAGTGTTTGGAAGGCACGGCTCAATCAGGGTGAGAACTGTATGGATGGTTTAAGGGGAGTCATGTTCATGGAGACAATGGGCTACCTCAACTTCAGCGGCCTCTGAACTGTGGGATAACTAGATCCAGAGCAGGAAACTAAACTTGGGCTTTTTTCTTTGGGATCTAAAAGCTGGCTAGTGCAAAGCAGGGGTCAGGGAGCTCTGGTTTGCTCTGTCTGCAAGGAGAGTTGGCTGCTAAAGCATTGCCCCCTTTCTGACCTGGAGCTTCCCCCCCGAAAACATCTGCAGCCTTGAAGCCCCATTTTTCTCTAGATGTCATCCTTACTTGATGCCCCAACCACGCTGTGTCCTCCTCAGGCTGAGGGCAGAACACTGAGCTTGGATAAGCTGGGTTGAACCTCAGCAGGCGATTTCATTATTTATGATGGTTTCTAAGAGCTCTGTCACAACTGTTGGTGTCAAACCATAAGCAAAGGCTTCTCTTAGGGACATGGATGATGAACAAATACATGACACTTGGTGTCAACAGCCTCCCAGATCTGTTCCCCACCTGGAGCTCGAAGCAGCTCAGCAGTTACAAACCACGCCTCGCACACGAGTCGCGCAGCAGCTTCAGAAGGGCTGTAAATAAATTTGTGTCCTGACGTGGGCACCAAAAATAAGCCTGTGCTGAGCCTTTCTGAGTCTTGGGCCAGGACACAGCTGCTGCTGAACGTTTGGGAAAATGAATCCCCTCATTCAGGTGCTCAACACTTGAAAACACGGACCTGAACAAGTGCAGTGTCATCTGCTGCTCTAATAATCGAGCACTGTCGGACCCTGCAAAAACAGCCGAGTCCTTGCTGCTGAGTGGGGAAGGAGCAAGGCAGTTCTTTTCATCCTCATCCTACTGGTTATTAGAAAAACAATCTGAGGAGACTTTTCTCTTTGGTGAAGGCAGATCATAAGCTCTGGGACTATAGTAACTATCTTCCCCTCACTCCAAGCAGTCCCATATGCTACTGCCACGGCTTACAGGAAAGCAAATATCCCTGGTTGCTCTGATATCAAATAGCTTTTGCTGACCTCCCTTGAAGAAAGTTCCTTGTGAAAATCCTTTTGTCCAGAGGTTTCAGTCACTTGGACCCTTACAGGGCTTTCTGAGCTCTGGTGATTTATTACTCCTTGGTAATTTTGTGTTTTATGGAGAGCCCTCCTGGAAATATACGGGGCTACAAGGGTAAAAGTATCAATTAACCAGTGCCAAAAGCCACCCATGAGCAAGGAGAGGAATGGGACAGGCTATGGGATACAGTTTGGAGGATGAACTCGTAGAGGAGCAGGAGCTCTGTGATGGGCAGGTTTGAACCAGGACCCCATAACAGCAGGATAAGGGAGTGTAGTAAGGCTGGATCCACTCCTTCAGGGAGTAAAGTAGGGCATCAGTTTTCAGTCTCCTTACTCAGAGCAGGGTGGAACTGAGATCTGTGAAGCCTCTTCTCTTAGATCCTCTGTGAACAGGAGCAGTGGTGCAGGGCTGAGCCCCAGCTGAAGACGCCAGCGCAGCTCACGGCTCCCCCAGGAACATCGTGGTGGAGGTGGCTTCAGGATTTCCTGCAGGGCACTGGCAATGGAGGAGCCCTTCAAAAAGGGAAGAGGGGCTGGTTCTTCTTGGCATATTTGGCTGAAAGAGAGGAAATGGTCTGTTCCATTGGTGGGTCGGCATATTTTTGTTATCCCAGGTGTCAGTGGGTGCTGACGAAGAGGATACAGGATATGGGAGCAGGCTCTGGTTTACCTTTGTGTAACTGGCTGGTGTCAGAGGGTGCAGAAGTATCAGAGAGCACAGGATTAGTAGTGTAAAACAAAGGACAGCATGCTCTGTCCTTATTTATGGTCTTTGAACAGGCACAGAGTTTGTAAATCAAGGCAGAGTTTCTGCCAGGTCCCTCAGTAGATCAGCACAAATCCACAGAAAGAAAAGGTAGGTAAAGCTTTACACAAGCTAAATGTTGGCTGGGCAATTCTGATCTCATCTCTCAAGTACTTCCTTGGTGGTTTAAGTGGAAGACTTTCAATTCAATGGAAATATTTTGAGTTTTGGCATTGCAGAGATGTGGAGGAGAAAGGATGATTGAAGTTGCAGTCTGTCTAAACCCCAGTCTGTAGTCACAGTCGTGCTCACATCCCAGTCTGTTGGGATTCACGGTGCTTTGGCAATAGTTTCCCGAACTTGCTTTGTAAGTGCCTGGATTTTGCACAACTTGCCATGGTTGTGGACAGAAGCAATGACCAACACTCTGTGGGATTCTTTGATGTCCTCTGAGCACCACAGCTTTCCTGGGACCTGGTTTCTGGGATTACAACCCTTTACTCAGGGAGGAGAGTAAGGAATACAGGTCACCAGCAGGCCAGGCTGGGAACTCTTCTCTTCCACAATGAGGAGCTACTCACTGCAGCAGACTCATGAGGTCTGTAGATCATTTTCATTAGTGGTGATTCATGGTGAGGGTTTCCCAATCAGGCCTGCTGGTGTAACACGTTCCTTTCCACAGCACCATTTATCTAAAGATCTCCAAATACTTTATGTACATTAAACTTTAATCCATGTTTTACCACCAGTGAAGTAGGTGAGGAGGATCATTTCCATTTGGCAAATGAGTGCAAGAAAGTGCCTTGCCCAAGACTCTGCGGGTTGGTTGCAAAGCTGTGGATCTGACAGTGAGTGTTTGTTTCCCGTATGTGGCCTTATTTCCCTGCCCAGATTTTAAAGGAACATTTGATTTCCTGGGGCTAAGGCTGAGCAGGAATAGGCTACAGCTGTAAATCAGAAGGCCTGATATGAATCAGAACTTCCTCTAGAGCTTGGGATCTGGATTTGTCATCCCAGAATGGCCCCGACCTGAAAGGATTGGAGCAGAACTGGTTCGTTTATGGGGATGGTATCAACTAGTTGGTGTAAGTTGTGGAGTCGAGAGTCAGTGAAGAATTTTTGGGACCTATTCATCCTCATCTTCCTATATGGTCAGTGTGGACAACGGAGGCTGCAAGTGTGATTCATGTGATGCAGGGAATGAGCTGTGAATTGAACTGTGTTGTCTCTTGGCTGGAAGGGGAGATGAGGTGACTGTCTCAAGTGAACCCTGTCCTGGTGTCCACAGGGAAGCAAAGTTGGGAACTGAATGGGGACAGATTTCAACATTTGCTTGAAGTTTCATCTCTTGTGGTAATTAGACGTGACTTCATTGGGGTGTGTTATAACAGCCCCTACAAAGAGAAAAACTAGTCAGTGGAAAGGCAATCCTTCCTTCCCTGGGTTGACCCGGCAAGACACCCCCGCCCAGGGAAAGCTGTGCAGCTTGGGAGAATCACAGAGTAGGGGAGGTTGGAAGGGACCTCTGGAGATCATCCAGTCCAACCCCCTTGCCAAAGCAGAGTGACCTAGAGCAGATGACATAGGAATTCATCCATGTGGGAAGGAACAGGCCAGAGAGGGGAACTGAGCTGCTTGTGGTCATTTGGAGATGGTCCCGTGCAGGGCTGAGGGTTGGACTCCATGACCGTGGTGGGACTCTTCCAACTCAGCATGTTCTGTGATCCTGTGATTTAACAAGTGAATGACAGAGCCAGGACAGCTATTCCTGTCTCCCTCCTGTCCCCAAGTGCTCCCACCACTTGAACACATTGCCACTGAAGTGACCTTTCTCCCCCTCTGCTTCCCTCCCTGCCAGGTTCCCCCTCTCTGCGGGCGTATCCCCTCATCTCCGTCATCACCAGGCAGCCCTCCGTGGTCCCCCCCCTGCTCCCCGCTGCCACCAGCTCCCGGGTGCTGCCAGCCCAGCCCTGCCTGGGCCCTGGGGGCTCGGAGCCCGTGGCCAGCGAGGCCCAGGGCAGCAGCGAGTCGGAGGCAGAGCAGCCCACGCCCAGGATCAAGAAACCGCGCCGCAGTAGGACCATCTTCACCGAGATCCAGCTCGTGGGCCTGGAGAAGAAATTCCAGAAGCAGAAGTATCTCTCTACCCCTGACAGGTAGGTCAGTGGCTCACAGCAGGATCAGGGATGAACAGAAGGGCTGCTCCAGCCCTGCTCAGCTGTCCCCACACTGAACACTCCCTGTGGATGTGCTGCCTTCTGGCTCCACAGAGAGGTCTCTGCATTGGCCAAGGCCGTGGGCAGACCATAAAATCACAAAATGGGCTGTGTTGGAAGGGACCCTCAAGGATAATCAGTCCAACTCCTGGCCCTGCCCAGACACCCCAACAATCCCACCCTGTGCTCAGAGTGTTGGCCAAACACTCCTGCAGCTCTGGCACTTCAGAGCACAGGGGGATGGTACCAAAGGAAAACAAAACTTTGGAGCTGGTGAGTTTTTGATGAAGATTGAAGTATAACAACCTCATTCCTCCCTGTCTTACCTTTCATGATGCAGATTTCCCTAAATCATTCAAAGGTGGACAGCACTCAGTTTAATTTGCAGCTCTGCTGTGACTTGAGATCCAGATCAAACCACTCCTCACTGCCAGCCCTGGGTGGGCAGGGCTGAACACTCACAATGTCCTCATGGGGATGGACTCGGCAGGAATTCAGCCCTCTGCAGTCAGGAGCCTCCTGGACCAGCTCAGACCCACGGCAGCTGCATGTTAGAGACTGGCTGCTGGGTGGCCAGATTCAAATTCAAGGCTAACTTCTCCTGGGATCAAAGGTGACAGGAATAGAGCACATCAGTGGAAATGCCAGCTGTGATGTATGTGCTTGGAGCAGATCTCCAGGCTCAGAGGTACAGAGCAAGAGCTCTCTGTCTTTCCCACTCCTGCTGCACACTTGAAAAAAGATGGAGCCTGTCTTGCCCTGAGCTCTGGTGGGGGATGGTGAGTGTCCATGGCACCTGAGGGGTTGGCTCTCCAGCTGGCTGCCGATCTGGCTCCAGCCAGCAGCTTGGGTAGCAATTCAGTGGGAAGGTAGTGTGTCCTGTCCATCAGCTTGGAAAACAGAGCCAGGGTTGTCTGGAGTTGACTTCTGCCTGCAAAGGCACAGGCAAGTTCTTTGTCATTTGAAGGAAAAGGTGAATTCTTAGGGACTACTTGGTACCACATGGGCAAACCAAACTAAGAGAGGCTTTAGCTTTTTTAAAGGCTTTCAATTCTACTCTTCAAATTTAAATTATAGGGAAAAAGACCCATCCAATTTCTACAAAGTTTGTAAACCTAGAGGAGGTACAGGAAAAAGACCCATCCAATTCCTATGAAGTTTGTAAACCTAGAGAGGGTTTGAAAGGTACCCCAGCCCTGGATTTAAATTTAAACTGAAGATGGCATTCTCTGCTGCCTGTCACCAAAGCCAAGGGTCACAGCAAGACCAGATTTCCTGGCCATGGCCACCCTGTCTCACAGCAGAGTTCCTAATGCACTGACTCCTCACAGCTTCATTTCACAAGATGGTTGACACTTGCTGAAGCCCTTCAGGCTGTTAATTAACATTATCATGTGACTGTTCCTTGGCTTTGTACACGTTTGGGGCTGATGAGCAATTCCTGTCCACGTACCACATCCCCTGTGTTTGTTTCCTTGGGTTTCCAGGCAGTGCTGGTGATAGAGGTGTGTGGCAAGAGGTGGCACCCTGCTTGCAGGTAGTCAAAGAGTTACAGGACATGTGAACTAAGTCACCAAGAGTTGGCCAAGCTGTGTTTCTCTCTGTCAGCTCCTGGCTGGAAACGTGATGGCAAAGCAGTGAATTGTGATCCATGTTCACTCCTGCAGCTTTTGGCCTGGACAGAAGATTGTACCCCTGGGAGGGCACCTGGAGTACCTGGTTTATTGGTAGTGAGGGAGTGTGGTGTGACAGGGCAACAACTGCCAGATTTTGCTCTTAAATATCAGCAATGACATCTTAAATCAATGGGGTACAGACATTATGTGGTGGCATAACAAACCTGCAGGTCCAGAGTGATTCCAAAGCGGGGGAGAAGCAGAAATCCATGAGAGTGAGTTGGAACCCAGGGAGGTGGTATGGGGGATGTGGGTGCTTGAAAATACAAGTCTCGTTGTCCCAGGAGCCCAACTGAAATAAGAGTTTTATTATGAAAAACTCAACCTTGACAAATGTGCTCCCCCATCCAAAGGCAAGAAGATATTTGCCAAGAAGTCACAGAATCCAGAACACTTTGGAATGTGACTCTGAGTTGGAGCTGTCCCACCTGCAGGACTCATGTGACTCCGTGGGGCACTTTCCTGGCATTGCTGAGGATTTCCAACCCCATCCCTTGTGCACTTCCATTACAAAACTGCCACATTCGTGTGCTGTCACCTGTGGGGAAGGATCAGGAGTTACCCTGAGCTGCATTTGCCTCATATCCTGGGGTTTAATATAGAAATAATGAATGGCTTCACATGAACTTGCCTGGGTTAGAGATTTGTGGAGGATGAATGAGGCTTACAGGTTGTCTGCCACTCAGATCCTGAAGCAAAACACACAAATAATGAATTCCCTTATAAGCCCAAATTGCCTACAATGGCAGAGTGCTGATGAAATGAATAGATTAAGATGTACTCCTGTTCCATTAGAAATGGGAAAGGATTATGATTTATGTAGGTAGTGAAGAAGAAATGTAATACAAAGAGTAGCACTTTCAAAGGCAGACTGATGCTGGTGTCTGTTCCTACGTGTTTGCTTCAAAGAGCAGAGGCCTGTTTTTCAGGGATGTGATGTCCCCAAGTCATGGGCAAACACAGAGTGTCAGCGGTTGGAGTGCAGCAGGTCTGTGTTTCCAAGAGGGCAGGCAAACCCTGTGACTTCTAGGAGGAGAAAAGGGAACAGAGAGTCTGAAAACACCTAAATATTCCTGTTTCTTCCATAGCAGCCTCTGTCTTTACATCCTAAATTCACGGTATTTACTGCTTTTGTGGGACTGTTCTCAAAACAACAGATCAGAGGACACTGTTGAATGCTCTTACAGTGTTGGATTGACTGTACCTGGCATCTGAGCTCTTCTTGTCCTCTGTAAACTCATTTCAGTGTCTGTTTTGTCTCCCAGGCTCGACTTAGCCCAGTCCTTGGGGCTGACTCAGCTCCAGGTGAAGACGTGGTACCAGAACCGTAGGATGAAGTGGAAGAAAATGGTGAGTGGTTCCTTGTCATGTCCCCACGGTCCTTAAAAACTAGTTGCAAAAGAACAGATTTGAAAGCTGAGCATCCTGTCAGTAATTTGAGTCTATTTATACCAAGTTTGGTTTTATTCTTGATCGTTTTTCCTAGAGATGGTCTCTTTTTTTAACGTGTTCATACTGCAGCATGTGTGGTGGGCAAGGGGGGACACAGGCAGGGGGAAGGATGCAAAGCAAAGGGGTGAAAGAAATGAGAGTAGAACAGAGGGAAGAACCAAAATATCTCCCTCTGCATTTTTGGCACTCCTGTGATCTCAGTGCTTTGGGATTGGTTCTGTGCACAGACAAAAAGGTTGTGTTGCTCTGCAGAAAACAGTGCAGTTTGGAGAGCTGATATCGCTAATTCCTGCCTTTCATCTCTTCTTTTCTCCTCTTTCACTTATCCTCAGCTTTGTGGCCCTTTCCCAGTTAAGACCTTTTTAGAAAGGAGACCCATGCAATAAGTCCTGGTTGGGAACCACAATGCTGTGACATTCTCCAGTGGAGGTGTTCGTGAATTTTGATCTGGGAGAGGACATGCAGTTCTAGACTGTTCCTTGGAATGTATGTGACAGTTACTGCCACTTCAAACCAATTTGGGATTAGCTTGGATACAGATCTTTGGCTGGAAGTCTTGCTGCTGCAGTGATGGTGTGAAGGGAGAGGGAATTAGACACAGGAACAGGATGGAGTTCAAGTTGATCCTGATGGTTCATCTCTTTGCTCCAGGTGCTGAAGGGGGGCCAGGAAGCTCCAACGAAGCCCAAAGGCCGCCCCAAGAAAAACTCCATTCCCACCTCGGAGGAGATTGAAGCAGAGGAGAAAATGAACAGCCAGGCCCAGAGTCAGGAGCCAGAGGGATCTCAAGCCCCTGAGGAGCCTAAACTGACAGAGGAGAAGCCAGAAGAAGCCGCGTTGGAGACAGAGAAATCTCCAGAACATATACCAGAGCCCTCCTCAGAGGAGACTACACCACTAAGTTAAAAGGGAAAGAAAGGAGGGAAAAAGGAAAGCAAAAAAGAGATAAAAGAGAAAAACCAAACCCAAATATATATATGTATATATATATTTAAATATGTATGTAATGGTGTGTGTGTACATATATATATAAATATATATATATATGTAGACCTTGTGCATAAGTGTAAAGATTGGTCACTTTGTGCCTTTGGGAATCAGCCATCGTGGGCCAGGTGGAACAAAGACATCCCGTGGGAGTGGTGCCAACCTGTTCCTCTGGTGAGGGAGCTTTGGGATGGGGGCCTGAACATGATTCCAGGGAAAGCACATCTGGAACCCCAAGACAGCTCCTGGAGAGGTCCAGGGGAAGGTGGGAGGCAGAGGTGTGTGGTGTGGCTGGGCTGGAGGGCTCAGGGTGTTCTCTTGGCTTTACCCTTGCCCTGGAGTTGTGCAAAAGAACAAAGAGCTTGACCTGGTCTCGGACCAGCGGCAGACAAGGAATGGGAGCTCCAATAGCACCATTTCCTCTTGTAACCAACCCTGATTTCATCAGGGATAAGCCCATCTTCAAACAACTCTGGGAAGGGGCTCAGACCACCAGGTTTGCTTTGGCCCAGGGTGAGCTCAAAGCTTCCAAAGGGAGATCCTCTCCCGGGTCAGGATTCCAATTGCATCTCTCTGGGTTGTTTGGGTGCCGTGTCTGTGAATTTGCAGGGATCCAGGATTAAACTTGGAATGAGATGAGGATTTGGATTTCAGTCTGCTCCAAAAGCTTTGGGATGCTTGGATCTGGGATTTTTGCTTTGGGCCCACTACTAATTTTTGTAGGTTTTTTTTTTAAATGAACTTTTCAATGTTTTCAGGGTTTGGGCAGGATAATGGATTTCAGAAGTTGCTGCAGAAAGTTGGTGTTTGTTTAAGATGTGTGCCAAGAATAGATGTGCATCATGTTTCATAAAGTCTTGGTAAGGGTGCATTTTGCCCAAAGGCTGCAAGAGATGTATTAAGATAACCTTTATTTTTTAATTAAAAATTAAATATATAAATCAAACCGCTGTGGTGGTTGTTTCTCTTTCAGAGATTCTCACTTCAGAGTGTTAGACAGGGACTTTTTTGGGCTTGTTTTTTCTATTCTAACAAAACCTGGAGAAAGGGGAGTCATCAGACTTTCCTGCACAGAAAGCTCTGTGTAAACTACTTGTAGTACCTTGCTAAGGTGAGGGTGTAAATGCCACTTGTCACTGGGTGAATGTGTCAGACCCAGGGCACTATTTTCTGTCACTTCCCCTGCTCCAGTTTTGGACACCCAAATAATGTCTCTTTGTGACAATGTGAAGATGATTTCTGAATATCCCTTTTTTGGGATGGTGGCAAGGATTACACCCAGAGATCTCCAGTGCCTTATCCAAGGAGAGCTGAGAGGGGAGAAAGGGTTTCTTTTCTCCCCAGTTTCTTGCTCAGAGGTGTTTGGAAGTGTCTAATTACAGCTCTGCATCAGCTCTGGGATGGGATTACCTGAATCCAGTAATGCTCAGGTGGTGAAACTCCAGCTACCTTCAACCAAGCCAGGGTGGGACATGCTCCACTCACCGTGTGTTTAACACACAATAATCCACTTGGGAAAAGGCAACTACTGCTTGAAGTGCATTTACAGGTTTGCACCTAAACCTAATCCAGACTTACCACAGCAAAGCTCATTTACAAAGATCTTGGAAACCCTCAGGTATTTGATGGTTCTTATGCTCCTTTTTCCTATGTGAGATGGAAATGAGATAAAACATTTCCCTCTTGCCAGTTGTGTTGAAAACAGCTGGGAGCTGCAAAGTCTTTCCTCTGCCATTAAAATGCATCAAAATTTGGTTGTCTTTGGACATTTTTTCTTTCCACGGAGCCCTGACAGGCTCATGACAGGCACAGTGAGAGGCAAAGGTGGTGGGGCAGGATTTTGGCACTTGCCTCGAGTGTGTTGTTTGCACATTTTTATCCGTGCATGTCTTTTTTCCACTTTTCTTTCCAGAACTGTGCTTTAGTTCAACCGTATCTATTGGCCTTGAAATGGCATTTAATTTAAAAAAGGCCTATAGCCTGTTTATACAGGAATTAGATTAGATGGTCTCTCAGATCCATAATCATCCTCTATTGTTCTTGGATAGTGGCATCAGCACTCTTATCTCAAAATAAAATGTTTGCACAAGTCTGAAATGCCACAGTACTCGGGGAGGGTGAAGAGAGCAATTTACTGGAAATAATTTGTCTAATAATGAGTTTCACCATCAGATTACAAAAAAACCCTGTGCAAGAATCTCTACTCCATTGACTTATAAGCCTGAATAATTGATTAAATCAAATTTTACATGGAGAACATTCTAGAAACAAAAAGCTGACTGTCAGGGAAGGCATCAAAGATATTTTAACTTGTCTGGGTTCAAAGTGAAATATAGTGAATCTGTTCTCAAGGCCAGGCTAGACAAGGCTTGGAGCAACCTGGTCTATGGAAGGTGTTCCTTCCCATGGCAGGGGCTGGAATGGGATGAGTTGTAAGGTCCCTTCCAGCCCAAACCATTCTGAGATTTTATTAATTTTTCAAGATAAATTTCAGAGGTGTGTTTTAAACACAGCATTTTGGGAATTTCAGTGTTTAGCCTTTCATTCAACCCAAGCATATTCCATACAATAATAATGAGTGTGAGTTTGGTAGTTTTTTTGCTTTTTGTGCCCAATGGATTTGTCTAAATTCCTGAACAATTTTGATAGATTTAGGTAAGAAGAAACAGGGGGGGAAATCACTTTCTTGCCCAGAACTAGGAAGTGGTGTGTGGGGTTTCTGCGCTGTCCAATGAAATGGATAAGAATGAAAATAAAAAATTTCCAAAAATTTTAAGGATATGTGTCTAAACCCCAAGCAAAGCAAAGTTGGCCATTTTCCAGCCAAGGGTAAAGTGAGTTTTACAAAATGACATTTCCCACTTCGCAGATGAAAATAATTGCTTCTGACTCAGCCCCATTTTGTAGTGGGAACAGTTCCAGTGATGTTTTAATTATTTTTTTTCCTTGTTAATCCCATTCTAATCACTTATGAGTCAATCTGGGTGAAAATGCAATACTCCAACTGCCTGGGCTAGTTTTTAATGAGTCCATAAGACACTGAAGATGTTTTTGTTCCTCCTTTGTCAGAGTAGCAATCTCAGTATCTGATTTTTCAATGTGATTGTTTAAGTGCAAAATGAGCCCTCAGAACACCCTCTGCTCTGCTCACACTGAATGACTTTCACTGACTCTCCTGATAATCTCCGGAGTGTCCATGGAAAGCACGATCCGAACGTGTGTTTGGATGGAGAGGAAACAGCAGGGGAGAAAGGGGGGAACCACTGAATTTCTTGCCTAAATCTTTTCATCCTTCTTGTCTGCTCCATGTTGGAGTAAAACATCTACAAATTCTGGTGGAACTGAACATACTGATCCCACCCATTGCTGGGAGGCAAGTGTTGCTTTTTCTTTTGTTTTAAGATTTTTCCTCCTTTGGGCTGATTTTTGGTGGAATGCCAAGAATTGAGCAACTCTTCCATTTGCCTTGGGCTGAGCTGAGCTGGGCTGGAGGAAGTTTAGCTTTGGAGTTTAGCCCCTAACAAGGGCTATGGTGCTGCCCAGCTCTTGTGGCTGTGAGTTGAGTTTGTTCCCAGCTCCTGAGACCCAGAAAGAACAGCACAGGTCTCTGTGCTGTCCCTGTGCTGGCTCTGCCTCTTGGCCTTAATTCAGATGTGAGGCCAAACTGCTGCTCCCTGGGCTGGAGACTGAGGGAATGTGCACAAAGAGGCTTCACCTGCACCCCCAGAGTGACAGCCAAGGGCTGTCCAAGGGCCTTTAGTGGGTCCTGAAGGTGCTTTTATTTCTCTAAAAGGCTGGTGAGTGTTGTGCCTCCCAGGAGCTGCTGTCCCAGGAGTGTTGGTTGCTCATCCCAGGAGCCTGACCAGAGACATGAGCCCTTGGGGGCTGAACCTCCTGAAGTTCAGGGGTGTTTGGCTTCCAGTTCCAGTCCTGACAGCGAGGAACAAGCCCCGGTGTCGAAATCCAGACTCCCCTGCAGGGATGGAAAGTGCTCATATCCGGAGTTCTGGCTGGGACCCACCTCTGATTGTACCCACTGCTGAGATAACTCTGCAAAGCTCTGAGCTCATCCCACAGGCTGGTTCCCCCAGGTCCCAGCAAGGATGAACAAGGAAAAAAAAAATCTGGATTCATTTAGCTTCAGGCCAGTACAATGAAATTTGGTGTTTGGGTGGGTTTAGCGTTCCCCCCTCTTTCCATCATCTTTCTTCAGCAGCAAAATGGAAAAGGAGAGTAAGAAAGGAATGAGTGAAAAAAGAGGAGCCAAGGAAGAGGTGAAAGAAAAGGCAAAAGGGAAAAGTTTAACTGCATCAAACTACATGATGAAACTACATAAATATAAAAATTAGGGGGAAAATAATTGTGGTGAAAAGTCAACTATTTTTTTGGACAGATAAAACTCTATTTCTGTAAAGTGAGATTTTTCTAGGGTTTAGCTACATGTGCAATGATGATGACTGACAGGTTTTTTCATAAGTTTATTTTTATATAATAGAAGTTAAAGCATAGCTGGGTAAAGAACAGTTGGATTAGACTTAGGCTACAATACTGGATTTGAGCCCAAATTTGTGACTTGACAAAGGGAGAGATTTGGTGAAACCTAGATCCTACAGAATCTTACATGTTGGGCATGGATACCCCATGAGAACCCAGCTCCTCTTTCTTCCCAGGGTCTGGTACTGCCAAGGAGGATTTATCAGGTTTTATTGTAAACTGAAGAAGAGGTGGTCTGGGGACATCAATCTTTGGAGCACAGTAGCTTTTTGTTTTTACACTGAAGTTGCCATTTAAATCTCCTAAATTAGAGCTATTTGGTTAAAATACAATAAAAAACCCCCACCAAAACAGAAAAGCCCCACTCAACCTATCACTTGTCTTGTGTCTAGGAATCTATAACTGGAAACAAGCTTTAGACCTTGAAGTCTTGCAGTTTGAGTTCATGAGGGTGATTTTCAATGCAGGCTAAAATTTAAATATAT